AGTCCTTTAGAAAATCAAATAAATAAAAAATAATTACATAAGAAAGCAAGTGGATGATCTGTATGATTACTGGATATATACAGTTGTATCTCACCTCTGTCCACTGTACTGTACATCTCTTTCTCTTCCCTAGATATCTGAATTTTCTGCTCAGTTTGTAGAAACTGTGACCGACGCCTGAGAGCTTCCATGTTTGATACTGTCCACATTGCTTTCACATTCCTGACTAACATTAAACAGAGTCTGCATTCTGCATCAAACATCCATACACTGTATGTGTTTTGAGTAATATGCCATGCACAGGATGTGTCACGGTAATTTACAGCACTTACAGGATGGGTTTCTCAGTTACTTGAATGGTGACTTGTGGGTCAAAACCTATTCTGTTTCTACCACATGCATAATAACAGTTCACTTTACATGTGGTGGTGGTTCTGCTGTTCACACAAGATGGTATACAATATCCCCTTGTGCAAGCAAAGAGCTCTGCTGCTTTGAACAGGGCAATCTCTGGCTTGCACAGGTGCATGATGGGCATGGTGCAGCGTGCTATGCTTGGGGATGCCGTATGATACTCTACAAAATTCGCGCCACGGAATTTCAATGTTCTAAACTAGGAGGTCTTTTCACCAAAGGAAAACTGTAGAAATGCTCTTATATAAACTATACTGTTGGAAAATGGGAAGTATACATTTGAATTTAACCAATTTGTAAATCAGGGTGGCTCTGTTCCTGTATAAGCATGTTACATTGTAAAGCTTTCTGCACATAAGAATTTCAAATACAGTGGTGCCTTGCTTGACGACGATAATCCGTTCCAGCAAAATTGCTGTAGAACGAAATCATCGTCAAGCAAAAGTAAAAAGCCCATTGAAATGCATTGAAAACCGTTCAATGCGTTCCAATGGACAAAATACCTCACCGTCCAGCGAAGATCCTCCATAGGGCGGCCATTTTCTGGTGCCTGTAAAGTGAGCAATCAGTCCTAAAACACAGCGGGCGGCCATTTTGCGACCTGCCGATCAGCTGTTTTAAAACCATTGTAATGCGGAGAATCCGTTCCCAAAGCAGGGAACCGATCGTCATAAAGCAGATTTTCCCCATTTAAACATCATTTTGCGATCGCAAAAACCTCATCGTTAGGCAGATTTGTTGTGGAGTGGGGTAATCGTTAAGCGGGACACCATTGTAATATACATACAATCTTAACTCTTTATGATGCAGTTTGGTAATGAATGCTTGGAACTTGTAAAAATGAATAGACTCTCTTCTCCTTCCTCTTCCATAGCATTATCTGTTGTTCAAGCTTATTTCATTGGCACAAAAATCTACAGGTATGTTAACAACTGTACATAGGTTTAGCAAAGTGCAAGGATTTCTAAGTTAATGAAAACTTTAATATATTTGATAGGTTTTTCTCAACAGGAATGTAGATGTCAGATATGAAAACTGAGTAAAGATCTCTTATATCAAAGATGAATCACAAAATGAACCACACCAAAAATGTTAAGAGTTTATGCGCTTTAGTAGCTAACAATTCTCAAACTGTTCATAATAAACAGCAAAAACCGGAAATGGCATTATTCCATAAACCATACAAAATGTACACGTCAGAATTTGATCAAGAACTGACGTTTATAAAATGACTACCACCATCACCTGCATTCACAGTCAAAACTGGGGTTCAACTTTTAAGAAAAACAAACTCATTCTTTTACTGAAACTCATTTCACTTCCAAAGAAAGTTTCCCCTGCACTATAAAACATGTTTGCAGGCAATAAATCATAACTTTTCATTAAAATGTCAAGGACACATGTAGTATTTTGCAGTGAAGTTGTTTCTTTGAGGCATGCTGTCTGTTGGCAAAACAAGATTCCAAAACTTGGGTTAGCCAAGAATCAACATTCAGGTTCCACATACATACATAAACTGAAAGCTATTCTGGGTATACTGGAAGAACTTTGAGGTGCCTCTTTCAACTCCAGGCCATTATATACTGCTTTTCGTCAACCCTTTATCTTCAGAGTTATGAGTCCAGTTTGTTCTAGCAACTTATTGGATAGTAGCAAGGACATATTTTCAGTAAAATAAAATGTTTGACTTTTAAATAACAGAATTTCTGTACTCTACCAATAATTATTTGAAGTGCAATTTTACATAGGTCTACTCAGACATTATACAAGTTCACTGGGGTGTGAATGCTTACAGACATAATAGAATGGGCCTTAACTTTGAGTGCATATGAGTAGACTACATTTTAGCTTTCTGTATTCAATTTACAAATCCTGTAATTTTAAGTTTAAAATTCCCAAAAGGAGGATGGGATGCAAAGTGAGAAAGAAACAGGAATTTTTAGAGATGGAAAGTGTAATAGAACCTTCAAAATACATGAAGAATCTAGAAACAGAAACATATTGATTCACAACCAGATATAAAAGCACAGAGAAGAGGTAAGTACAAGGTATAAATACAAGTCATGTATGAAAATACTGGTTCACTGAGAACTTGGTGGGAGACTTAGTCAGCTAACCCATTTCATATAAAATAGGGTCCCCATATCTGCTTGGGATAGGTTCCAACCCTCCCACAGATACTAAAAACCACAGATAATAGCGAAAGCTATATATATATGCATATAGCATGGTAAAAAGAAAAAAAGTCAGAAAAAACTTTTCACATGCATTACCAGTACTGGCCACTAGAGTGCACCAGAGACTGTGCTATGTATTCTTCATTAAGAAGTATTTATAGCACAGACTCTGTCTCCTTCTCATGGCAGGTTCTGGTAATACATGTGAAAATAGTTTTTTTCTGGCTTTTCCCCCTTTTAATATTTTCAGACTGTGGATACATGAATCAGTGGACACTGATCCCATGGATAAGAGGGTCCTATTGTACCAGCTTACTCATCAGTGTACATATACACCATATTGTAAAATGTAGTTAAGTGACCACACCAAAGAATACTGACTTTCCATTAATTTATAAGTAAATAAACTGACCTTCTAAAAATGTTCTAATGAATTAAATAATATTAAAGAGTTCTTCTGGTGGAATTAAACTTTGAGATGCTGTATCAGAAATGAAATACGGGCCCTTGTAACTTAGTAAGAATGGTCACAACTTCTGATTTTGCTCAGTTAGCAGGAGATGCTCTATAATTTCCCCAGTACAGAATTTGCTTCAGAATTCAGAAGCAAAATAAGCAGCTCCTGAATTGAACAAAATCCCTTTAAAAGGTGATCCTTTCAACAATGTTGTGATTAAAAGCAGTTGGCTTCCAAATGGGAGTGCCAATGCATGACTTTAAAAGAACACCCATGTGCTCTTAGTAACTGCTTGACAATGAAACATTCTGACAGTTGTAGCACTTAAGACAAGGACAAAGAAGTATTTCTGTCAAAATTCTCCCTAGTATCTATTAAGAGGCACAGGAGCATCCGTCAAGGTCAGGCTACTCTAAATGAGGCCAGCAACTGGCAGGAAGCAACCAGCAGCAACCAGGAGGAACCTTTTGCAGAAGCTGTAAATAATCCAGTTAGCATTTCACAAGCGTACAAAGAATATGCTGACAGCTCTTTTTTTCTTTCTTTCCCTACACACACGTAATACAACAAAACTAGCTGGAAATTAGATTTCAAAAATAAAAGTACACTTTGAGCAGAGGACTTTAACCAAAATTAGCAAGGGTTCAATGGGCAAAATCTTCATGGTTAGTGACACGGGTGTAGCTTGACATTATGCCCAAGATAGTTTCAGGAGGGTCAAGGTCGAAGTGCTATTCCTGAAGCACTTCTGCCGGTGCACTGAGCAACAATCACACTGGGAGTCATGTGACTGACTGAACCATTGATTTGTGCAATTCCCTATTGCTGGGCATGATGGCCAGCACATTTTGCCTGGTTTCTAACAGGATAAAAATGATGTAGAGAATACTGAGACTACAGAACTAGCTTAAGTCTAGAGTGTTTCTACTTAAAATATTGATTGTAGTTCTCATGAACTTAATGCTTCAGTACTCAGCTTTACATATTAAGCTTGTCAGCAAGCTTGCAGAACAGTTTCATACTTAAAATATTTTTCTCTTCAAGTGAATTGGAAAAACTGAATTACTAATAAGTTCACACCAGAATTGTTTAATGGAGGCACTTCAGGCAGGAACGATAGAAAATATAAAAAAGCCAAAACAAAATGTGTATTGTAACTTGGTTCAGAGAAATGGCTCATCCTAGTTTGTAGCACAAGGAGGAAATGAGCCATTAGGTAAGATCAGCGCTTAGGTATCAAGGCAATGGACGAATCAGACAACATGTATTGCTATGTATAGGTAGCTCAACCACCTGTGCTACATTTACAAAATGATGGTTGACTTTAAGGTGATGGTGGAACGCAAGAAGAGTGAGGCTGGCTTTCGGATATAAATGCCCCATATCTTTCATTCAAGGTATGTTTTGTAGATGGTAAATATATGATTAGCATATGCTACTCAGACATCTCTTTCAGGGCAGATTGGTTAGAAACTTATTTATATGCAGAGAAATGTTTGCTACTTTGAAGCATGTGTCTTTTTATATGTGGAATATTCAAAACTGAAGTACATAGCTCAGCCTTAAGATGATTCCTGATGGATTATCATCATGGACATGATGTCCATCTTATGGACAATAGGTTACCTTGTGCAGTACCTCAGAGTTAATTTGTTTTAATACCACATGTAAAGATTAGAGGACTTTGATCTCTAAATGTTGTTAGGGTGAGGGCTTTGGTTTATATGACAAAAACTGAATCTGGCTTCAATATAAAAAGAGATAAGGTTAAATGACCCCTATAATGAAGAGAAGAAAGACTGCTTCCTTATCATGGGATTTCATGGCTTTGAAAAAAATGGAAAAAGACTCATATCCTTACAGAAAAATAGTTTCGTTGTGCGAGGCACCACTGTATATTTAGATACTGGAAAGCTTAGGTAGATATTCTTCCCAACAGAGGGGACTTGCACACATGTGTATTTTGATCCTGAATATATTTAGATACTGGAATTCTTCCCAACAGAGGGACCCCCCCCAATGGATCTAACTTGGGCAGCTATTTTAATGTTACCTTCAACATGTTTTTATGTACATCAGCACAAATCTCTCTGCATAGAAATAGTAACCTGAGAATCTGCCCTGAGCTTGAGATTTTGCACCGCTAACAGCAGAAGGAGCATACAGATTCGCTGGTATGTTCACTAAATGACGTCACTCTTAAGATAAGAGTGCTGTCGTACTACGGTACTACTGCGTTCAATGAGCTCACGAATTTGCAGGCTCCAATACAGCTTTGGATTTGTCACTAGCAACAGTCAAGCAGCAACAGCATGAAAGCTTCATTAGAGACCCAAGGAAAGGACAAAGCACAAGCCGCTGCTTATGGTGAGATCAGAATTTTTTAGATTGTCTGTTCATTTGGCTGTTCAGTTTTATGACTGCTTGCTTTCAGTCACTGTGCTTCAAAACACAAGAACATATAGGATACATAGAAAACTACAACGGTTAAAACAATTAAAAAAACCTACTCTCATACCCAGGAAATCAGGCAGCACCTGTCACTAAAGCCAAGTGCAGATTAGGAGGAATGTGCCTAGATTTTCCCTCCAAATATTACTTTTAACACCTAAAGAGAGATGTAGAAAACACTCCCACATGTTCCTCACACTGCATACAAAACATTATTCTCACTTCCGCCACCAAAAGAAGGCAGAGTCCACGTTGGCACCATGCTGTCCCGGACAGTTCTTTGTTCAGACTTCCAGAACTCTCGCTGGTCGGCCCAGTGCTTTGATAAAGTAAAGTCTCACACAATGCAACACAGTGCGTGAAAAAAAAGAGGGATGACAATTAAATATGATATTCTGTATAAATGCATTGGTGCAAAAGCGACGACAGCAACGGATAAAGGAAGTGGAAAATGCACTGCAATCTTCAACAGTTTGCTGTGGGGAGAAAAAAAAGGATATATTTTTTAACTGTTTTGCTTTTAAGTTAAATATAGATAGTCTACACACTGAGAATATTTTTCGGAAAAATACTACAAAGTATTTTGTATCGGGGATTTTACTGCATTATGATGGTACGTTATGGAAAGCCATTCTAAGGTTTGCCGGCAGCGGCAAACTGGGATTGCACCCTCACTTGATTTCTGCACCTCCTCAAACCTTACCTAACATATAAATCTTGAAGTTACATTTAAACAGGGCACTAAACAGGTAGCATTGACATGAAAACGTAACAACTCTCACAGCGGGCTCCACAGGAGCATGTTCATAATGCAGACTGTATGTGTCACAGTTTTTATGTACATACGGCTCAATTTGAACATGTTGTGCAGGCTTGGAGATGAAGCATTGATGCATTGATGCAAAAGTGTAAGCAGTAGAGTTGGTCATGAATTTTAAAAAAATGAACCAGGAAGTTTGTTAAACATGGCTGGTTTATTGATTCGGGTCAGTTCTGGAACTGAAAACGGAAACGTTCTCAAA